ACTGGCTGCGACTTGGGGCTACCGCCTGCTGTCCTGTCGCAGCCCAAGGGCAGCCGCCCCACAAAGCCAAGCCCGCAGCGGCAGTGACCGGTGGGGCCAGGGCGGGCTATGGGCGGAGGGCTGGGGCATCTGCGCGGTTGCGCATCCTCCTGGCAGCCTCTGGGTTTGGCGTGCGGTTTGTCCCTAGAGACAAGGGTTTCAAAGCCGCATGGGCTACGACTGCACATGCGTGCTGACTGGGGGCGGGGGGAGGCGGCGGGCTGTGAATGTCACTCCAGACACTGGTAGCAACCCCCCTGCAGCTTACCCAGACCCCGTTTTGCAGAAACGTGGGGACATTTGCCCTGGACACACGCACCCCAGATGACAAAGAGAAATGGCCCACGGGCTCCGGGCCGCTTGAGACCCAGACGGCCTGCCCGACCTACAGCTCCAGGTGCTCCCCGACCTTCCGAAACCTTTCCACGGAACTGCGCACCTGCGCACCGCTCCCCACACTCACCCTCGCAGAGACTCTGGTCACACTCCGTGTGGGGCGGAGGGGAGTGGTGTGCCCAGGCCCAGAAGGGGGTCTTCCATGTAGCTCCACCCACCAAGCTTCTGAGAAGCTTACTTTCCTGCAATTAATGTTTTTGCAAACAATATACGAACACCTGCTTCCCTCCTGGAAGTCTGGAATCAGAGGGGGCGCCTATGGGCCCAGCCCCCAGTTAGACCCTGGGCTCTGAGTCTGTAATGAACGTGCCTGGCGGACAACATCACACGTACTGCCCCGACTCACTGGATGAAGCAAGCGGCCCTGTGACCCTGTGCGACTGCCCTGGGCAAGGATGCTGGAAGGTCGAGGCTGGTTTCCTCTGTACGTCACCATGCACTTCGGCCCTTTGTGAGTTTGCAGTCCTTTCTCTGCAATAAGTCAGACTGAGTCCACCTGTAATCTGAGTCCTCCTAGCGAACCATCAAACAGAGCGATGGTTGGGGACACCCAACCCAGGAAGAGAATGCCAGCAAGACGAAGTCGCATCTTCTCTAACCTTGTCTTAGAAGTACGTTTGCCATCATCTACGCATTGGAAGCAAGTCACTAGGTCCGGTCCACACACACACACTCACACAATACCCAAGGGCCTGGGCACCAGGGGTGGGGACCGCTGGGGGTCACTTTGGAAGGCTGCACCAGGCAGCAGAGCCAGGATTCAACGTGAATGGTCACCTCCAGACCCAGGCTCCTCTCCCGCCCCCCAGCCCAGCTTCTCACCTTCGCCCACGATGTCCCATAGCGAGGACAGCCCAGAGTGCCATCTCCTGAGAAGTGCCCTGAGGATGGGTCCTCGTTTACTAATGTGAAATAGACGTGAGCCAGAGGCCACGGGCGCCCAGGAAGGGATTTGCCCTGTGGACTCGCACACGCACGTGACCTTTTTGCATCACTTATCCCAATACTCCCATGGTTCAATGTTTGAAATCTCTATCCTAACCTTGGCCTCCACCCGCCTAGATCCCCTCCCTCAAGGCAACCGACATTGTCCGTTACTTATGCGTCCTTCCCGAGTTATCTGATGCAAAGTCAAATACATGTTTCCTCCTGTTTGCACAAACAGCAAACTCTTCTCTGCACCTTGCCTTTCTTATGACGCTTCTGGGCTATCACGGGATTCTAGCACTTGGCAAGCTTCTTCAGCCCTTTTGATGGCAGGCAGTCCTGTGTCACCGTGTGGCTGTGCCTCATTTATGTCACCAGGGCCTGGACATCGAGGGTCTTTCAGGTTTTCTGCCCTAATAAACAATGTTGCATCGAATGACATCGAAACTCATTTTACACATCCGCAAGACGAGGAAGTAGACCTCCCGGGTCACAGTGTTTGTCATTCTTTTTTAGGGCATTTATCCATCTTCTCAAATGGTACTTCAAAGTTCAAAGGGAACAGCGGGGTTAAGTGAAAACTACATCTCCGTTGTCACCCACCTGCAGTGGCGGCTGCTGGTTCCCATGGGTAGGTCTTCTTCAGATGCTGTTACGGGCGAGAAATCCTTCTACCGAAGCCGTCTTTTCTCTTGCAAGGCCCCCATTTCTGGAGATGCCCCCAGCCAAAATACTGGTTCAAATTGGAGAAAGAACTTGCGGTGTCTGTTCATGTTCGGAACTTTATTTTTTAAACTGTCTCATCAGGCTTGGCTATGTGACATCATTAAAGCCCTGCTTAATGAAAGGGGTTTTTTGCTTTCTCCCCGTGTGGTCTGTGTATCATGGCTGCTCTCCCCCGTTCGCTTTGACCCCTGTATTCAGTGCCGGAGGCCGCTTTCAGATATCTGGGAGTCTCTGCTTTCCCATTCTGATTAAGCGAGGGCTCCAAGGCCTGTTGGTAGCACTGTTGGTGTGACTTGTCGTCTCTGAGGGGGATGTGAGGGGCCATTTCTTGGGGTCCCCAAGGCCACCATCCTTATCTTTTCTCTGGAGCGAGACAGGTTCCCCAGAGAGGCGTCTGCCGGTAAGCTCCCACCAGAGACAGGTCTGGCCGCCGAGGGAAGGGCAGGGTGTGCAGTCCTCACCCCCTGGGGACAAGCGCCCGGTGTGGCACCCAGGCCCCCCACCATGCAGATGAGGGGGCCCCAAGATTCAGCTGCTTCTCAAGCCGCCTCAGCCAGTCTTGACTCAGCCAGGTCTGAGTCTTTTACGAACCCTGATACACAGCGGACAGTTTCTCCGTGGTCCTCGCCACGGGCTCAGGGTCCATCGCCACCTGTCCATTTGCCTCCCTGCTTCCAAACCCGGGTCGCTTCTAAACTCCCCTTCCCTGTTTCTGCTCAAATGTCATTCCCACTGTGTCACGAGGCCTTGGGAGGCAGTGAAATTAGATGCATGGATTCGACCCGTATCTCGGTCCAGACAGACCCTCCTAATTATCTTCCATTTGGAGGAAAGTTCCTAAATTTACATTCGACCAAAAAGCTCAGAGGCTTTCAATAGCCTTAATGTTAAAAGAAGCAGGAAAACACACACTCGATTGCCACATTTGTCCCTGTGGAGGTGCACTCGTTTCTGGCAATTTCGAAAAGCTGCCAAAGCCATAAAAATGTGATGACTGAAAAGTGGCCGTTGCCACGAGGCCGTCCGCTGAAGGGAGGGGTCCTGGGACAGAGGCCTGCACCTTCTGCTGGACCCCTGGCTCCACCCCCGCGGCTCGACTTCTTAAACGAGAACTCTGGCTTTGTCACTGCGACGTCTGGTTACTTCGTTTGCCTCATGTATATGTACGTAGGGGTAAGAACAACCCCCTTCCCGTGGGTTATTGGATTAAATGAGTCACACGCCAGTTGTCAGCTCGCCATCTCTGGCTCCACACTCAGCCCACCCCCTCTGCCAAAATGGATCCCGGCCCTCGAAATGCTTTTGCCAGCGGGCACCACATCACGCTGTCAGTAGAGGGCGCTAGAGACAAGGCGGGAAGACCCGGTTTCGCTTCTTGATTCCGGTGTCCTAGGTCCCCAGGCTATGCTCCCGCACGAGGGTTCCCGGTGCTGGGCTCCTGCAGTGCAGCGGCCGGCGGCACCTGGGTGTCAGCCGTCTTCCCCAGTGTCCCCTTGATGCTCCCATAGCAGGGTGCGTCTGTGAGACACTTCACAGATTCCCCCAGCACCCTAGAGAGCGACCCAGCGGGTTCGGCCTGTGCAGAATGCCATGGTCACTCCGTGAACTGTGGTCACGCCCTCCCCAACAAATCTGGGGCAAGGGGAGGGGCCGGAATTCTCGAGGTGCTCTATCCCAGCACTGGGGTAACAGCGGTTTTGTAACTCTAAGTTCTTCAGTATTCTCTGCTTTTTACTAGCCAATCTCATTACCCCATTCGAGTTAGTAATTCTTGTGAATTTACTTAAATTGGGTTGTTTTTCTGCTACTCAGTTGTATGATTCTTCAGATATTGATACTAATCCGTTATCAGATACGTAGTTTGCAAAACTTTTCTCCCACCCCACGGGCTGCCTTCGCACTTGGTTGGCTTCCTTCGCTAAGCGGCTTTTAGTTTGACGTAGTCCTCTTTAATTTTTTGACTTCTTGAACTCATTGCCAGGACCCACGTCCAGGAGCTCGCCCACCGTTTTCTTCCAGGTCTGTCGGGTCTAGCCCATTCTGAGCTGATTTTGCACGTGGTGTAAGACAGAGGCCGTTGCACTTGTCCACGTGGCCGTCCAGTTTCCCCATCGCCACTGAAGACCGTCCTCTCCTGTTGTATATTCTTGGTTCTTTTGTCAGAAATCGACCACACGGGAGCGGGTTTGCTCCGGGTCCCTCATTCTATTGACCTAAGTGTCCGTCTCCATGCCAACAGCATACTGTTTTGATTACCAAAGCTAAGAAAATATAGTTTGAAATCAGGAAATATGATGCCTCTAGCCTTATTCTTTTTTTCAAGATTACTTTGGCTATTAGGAGCCTTTGTGGTTTCATACAAAATGCTAGGATTGTTTCTTCGATTTCTGTGAAAAGCGCCACTGGGATTTTTATGGACTCCATGATCACACTGGGTAGCACGGACGTTTTAACATTAATTCTTCTGACCCGCGATTACGGAATATCCTTCCCCTCATTCGTTTCCAGCATCTTTCGCCCATGTGGCACGGTTCTCAGTGTACAGATTACTCCACGTGAGCTATTTAATATTAAGGAATTGTTACTATTTGGATACGAACTTACTGAGACTATTTTTCACAAATGTTACTGGATGCGATTTATTTGAAAATAGTACAGACAGGTGGGGCAGGGAAACAAGGAAAGGTCTTAGTAAGTTTAGTAACGATGACAGCTAGGGGACAGGGCCTGCGGGGCCACCACCCACCCCCTCCCTTCTTTTCTGGAAGCCTGACGCCATCTGTCCTGGCCCGCTGCCCCCCACGCCTCTGACCGGCTGAGATAAGAATGTTTTAATTCTAACATTTCCACTTACCCGAAAAGAAATTTGTTCCTTTTGCCTCGTGAAGAATAAAACAAGTCACACACACGTACACATTTCATTAGTCTCTTTAATTAAACGTTCCAGGCATCCCAAACCCCATTAAAAAATTAAAACTGCAAAGTGCTTCGTTTCCTAAAAGCACATAAAACCCTCATGAGCCTCACAGTTCATGACGCAGGTCTCTCTGACATGACAGGATACATTTCACTCTTTGTTATAAAGGCACAGAAGCCGTCTGACAGCCCGGATATTAACCCACTGTGCACCGATGTCGCACTGATACGCAACTTAATACAATTATTAAAGCTTACAGCATGGTTTCCAACGACTCGTAAGGACATACAGATCCTCCCTATAAATAATAATTAAAAGAAATACTGGACTTTAAGACCAATGCAGGTGTAATGAAGGGACCTGAACGTTTCTGCGTGGGCAGTGACATTTCTTGATGGAAGCGAGACCTCGACCACGAAGCCTCCCACCGGCAGCAGGCGCTGGGCCCAGCTTCGCCAGAGAACAAAGTAAAAGGAGCAACGAACAAGCTGAAAACATACTTTCCTCACACGCCGTGCGACAGCAGGACGGCGGTCACTCGCAGAAGCTTCTACCATCCCGTCTGTTTCCAGCCGTTAAAATCGTGCTTTACAGGTCAGCAGTTCTGGACTGGGGTGCAGACGCCCCAGGACCCCCGGCCGGGTCACCGCCTGCGCCGTCCACACTGGCAGCCTGCTCTTCGTCCCGGTCGGCACTCGCCTCGTCCTCCGGTGGCCCGGAGCCAGAGGCACTGTCGCCTGTCAGGACAGGCCCTTCCTTCTTCTTCTCTGCCAGCACCTCCAGCCCCATCATCCTGAGGTAATGCAGCCGCTCATTCTTGGGCACGAAAGTTCGAATTGAGGCCTTTCCCCGCCATCCACACAACACGATGGGACACTGCAGGGTGTCTGGTTTCCTAGAGACAAAACGGCTTCGCGTAAGTGTTAAAAGTCCCCGTGACTGCACCTGAGGATGTGCGATCGCTCCAAAACAACACCGACCGCTAAACCGCTGGGAAGCCATTTAGCCTGCGGGCTACGGAGGGTTTGCGCAAAGGGAGATCAGCTTCCTTGTCCGTGCCCTGGGGACCTCCGACACCTTCCGGCTGGCCCGTTTTCCCTTCTACAAGCTCACGGTGACACGGCGCCCGAATCTGCAGATTCCACGCTTTCAACGTTAGAATTTCCACGTACTCGGTCCTCTCAAACGGGAAGACCCATCTGTGATGCTTCGCCCTGATGACACCGGACATTTCGGTCCAGTTGCTGCACCGCCCCTCATGGCTCGCTGCCCGTTTTTACAGATGGACAGACCGAGCCTCCCCGGAGGCTGGGCACCTTGACCCAAAGCAACAGCGCTGGCAAACTGGAGCACCAGGCCTGGCACCCAAAACCACCCATGCTTCTGAGACTCAATGTGCCACGTAATTTGGTCTGAGTGACCCTAATTAGCTCTTCCTGGTTACCCACCCACATAGCAACGCAACCTTCTAGGGAACACCATGCCTGTTGCCAGCGCGCACTGTCACCTAGGTCCAAAGCATCCCCGCCCCCCAGCCTGCTGGAGCCCGCCTTCCGAGCGCCTACCTACTCGCCAGCCCACGTCACCTCCCTTTTCCATGCCCGAGACGGCGGAGAGGTCTGTCACTCTGTGCTCATCGCGCACCACGCACGTCCCTGCTGTGCGCGCCGTTATTTAATTTCTTTCAGATGTCACTCTGGCCTAGCTTTTAGGCTCCTAAAGGCCCTGTTTAATGTAACACAGGTCCCAAACCTACCTGACGCCAGGCGTCAGTGACAGAGGCTAAAGAAGGAATGGGCACAGAAGGCTTCAGTTATATTTTTAAAAAACAGAGAAAGGTAACGGAAGGGCCTGAACGGAGAGAGAAAAACCGCTAAAAAGAGGGGAGAAAACCCATCGGAACTTTTCCATTTTCCCCAGAGTAGAGCATGAACAAGGAGTTCGAAAATAACAACCAAAAAACACAAGAAATCCTCAAACTCTCATTCTTTTTTTTTTTTAATCTAATAATTCCTGGAGCTGTCTTTTCACTGGTGTACTTCGACTACTAGAAAACTAGTGTTTGCATGAGGAAAAGCAAATCCAGCTTTTAAAATATCCTAGTACTGTTCCTTTAAAAAACAACTCTGGCCAAACGGATTTGTAAAACCACGTGCATTCCTGAGACACTGGCCGTGCCCTCCGGTGTCTTCGTTCTCCCGTGAGCGCAGAAGCCACGAGACACTCTGACCCTATCCTGACCCGACCCCTGCCCGGGAAACACCCCCACCTATGTCACAGCAAACTCCGAGAAAGCGTCTACATCCGCTCAACCCTGCGGGAAAGCGTCTACACTGGCTTGACCCCGCGACCCGCCACCCAGCCTCGCCCTGCGCCTTCCTCAGCTCTTCCCCAGACTCGTCTATTCTCCCCACAATCCCCGGGGTCCCAGGGCCCTCCTCACTGGGGCTCTGCAGTGCTCTCCGGGTGAGGTCCGCCCCCCGCGGGCCCCTGTCCCGTCCACCTCGTCCGTCTTCCTCAGGCAGGCCCGCAGGCCCCCGGCTCCCCACAGGGTGGATCCACTCACGGAGCCCACGGGCCTGTCCCTGGCACTCCCTCCCGCTCAGCGCCTCGCATGGCTACTCAGCTGCCCAGCTCGCATTTCACACGCACCGAGTTCCTCCCTCCTGTTCTCAGGGGACAACATGTGCCCGAAGCAAATACCAAGAAGCCACTGCTGAGCGCCCGTCGCGTCACCGCCCGCAGTCCGTCCCGTCTGCTCCACGCAACACACGCCCCAAAGGGACGCACGTGCACCACTCTGCCCTCGTCCCCCGTCACCTCGCCTGCCGCCCTGTCCTGCCGCAGCACGCTTGCCCCGCCCCGCCCGCCTGCCCTCGCCGTCCAGCTCGTCCCTGCCTCGGGGGTGGGGGCCCGTCAGGCTCTTCCCACTATTCAGACTCAGGTCACATGCCACCTCCCCAGAGAAACTGCCCCAGCTCGGCAAAGCGCCCCACCCCTCCGGGCTGTACTGTTTGACTTCCTCCCTACAAACAGTGCTTCTTGTCACAGAGCGGGGACCACAGTAAGTGAACCAGTCTCCTGGGAGCACAGCTGACCCTGCCACGCACTCACCGAGCACTCTGGGCAAGTGCTGGCAGTCCACGACCCACTCCTCCCAGCCTCCCTGGGGGGTGTCATGGGAAAGCACAGCACCACAGTGGCTCTGAGGCGGCTGTCAGTGAGCTACGCGGGGCCAGGCCTGCCTGACCTTGTAGGGCGCCCCAGGCCTCCTCGTACTTGATAAGTTGGAACCCAACCTCGCTTCGCTGTTCAACCTTTACACTTGTTCTGTTTAAGACAGAAATCAGAATCCAGCTTCCAAAGCACAGAGAATAAGCACTATGCATTTTATTCTCTGAATAAAAATACATTTAGCCTGAGCTAAATGTTCTATAAAAACATACCTGCATGACGACACACAAGTTGTTCCGTTACAAAATTTTCCCAGTACTATTTTTAGGGGAACAGTCATAAAAGGCTTCTAAGACCACTCACAGTCCACCCCCCACCCCAGGAAAATGTGACTTCCGGCATCCTCACTTACGTGGGGTCTGGCTCGTACTTCAGGACGACACTCCCCTTGGCTGGAAGAGAAACACACGAGCATTGGCCAAGCGTTCCCACCTGTGGCACCTTGGCTGAGCATGTGTATGTGCTCGGAAAGCAGCAAATTATCCACACTTGGTCTCAAGGACCTCGATGGAGAAAGGACTTTCTAAAATCCAAAGCCCCCAGCCAGCCAAGCACCAAGCAGGGCAGCCAGGACAAGGCGGTCAGACCACCAGGGGTCTGGGTGGAGCTCCCCAGCAAGTCTCTCGCCGGGGTGGGGGGCGTGGCGGGGGTGGCGGGGAGGCGTGGGGACTAACCGCTTGTTAACCCTCAGAACTCAAAGATAAATAACAGCTCCAACTCCCAGAAACGGCATGAAACGACGGACAAAAAAAAATGCAAAAATTATACTGTAGTCACCTAAATGAAAGATTTAAAAAGTACAAACAGTTCCTTCATCTTTTAAAATAAACTCTCCTTTAAACTGTGGTTGTGTCTGAGCAAGGAAAAGGAGACAGACTCACACGGCAGGCTTTACACGTTCGCGTAAGACAGGGTCATAAGCTACAGGAACTGATCTGTTCAGTCGTCATCAAACTGAACCAGAAATATCGAACAGTAACATAAAAAATAAACGAGGGAAACAAAAATCAGAATTAAAACCCTTGGTGGTGACTTTTATTCTCAGGTGCAGACATCACCAGAGTAGTCGGCAGTGGAGACTGAAACATCAAAGCGACGTGACTGGCCCGCTTTGGCTGGCAAAGCAGCGGCAACTGCTGGCAAGACCGCGGACTCTGCTTCAGTGGGATCGATTAAAATGCCACGCCGACCCGGAAGCCTGTGCTGGCTGGTGTCCTGCGCCTCATACGCAAACCCCAGCCCCACACTTTCTTCCGCTTCCACGCAGAGCCCTCCCCTGGCTGCCTGCTTGGCGACGGGCAGGTGGCTTGGAGATCGCGGCCTGGAGCCTGGGCTGGTGGGCTGGCCAGGCCCCAAGACCTGCAAACCAGTGCAGGTGACTAGGGCCTCCACCGGGGTCCACAAGGGCACGGTGAAGTCAAAGAACCCCCAGAGTGCCTTCGACCCTCAGTACTCTGAGACGTCAGTTATGTTTTCACAAAGCCCTCTGGAGACGGAGTCAGGTCGAGAAAGCCGCAATGTACTAAATGCAAGACCGAGAGCTCCACCAAGGGCAAACGCCCACATCAGAAGCCTCCGTAAGGACAAGTTACGCCTCTACGCAAGTCCGACGCTTACCCAGGTCCTTGGCTTGGCTGTACGTCTCACTGCTAAGTTTTCTAAAAAATGGATTTTCCTGGGTTAATAGGATTTTAACGTCTTCCAACGACACAGTAATGATTCTTGAGTTAATAAATGGATACAGTGTATATATTCCCTGTGGAAAGAGAGGGCGCCATTAGGGACAAAAAGGATCACCCTATGCCAGTGTCGAACGGGCACCGGAGCTCTCGGGGCCTTTCCCGCCGCGGCCCCCGGGCAGGTCAGCGCCTGCAGCCCGGGGGCACTCGCGACACGAAAGCAAACCCCCTGGGGCAGGGGACCCACCACGGAGAGCCTGACGACCAGCCCAACGGGCGGCAGGCGCCAGCTCAGCTGAGTCTCCCAGGCTGTCGGGCCCGCTCAGAGACCCCGTCTGCGCCCGCGCCGCCCACATCTACCTCCACGTACCTCCTGTGCCAGCCGGAAAGCACAATCGAACTCTTCTCCACTGTTGTTTCGACACCAGACTTTTATCCCGGTGTTGATAACCTGTAAGTGGGAAAAATAAGCCGAAACGCGCATGTAAATAAAAATCCGGGTAACTGATTACAATGTTCCCTTCCACCACTTGAGGAGGCAGAGCTGAGCAACAGCTGAAAAGGAGGAGGAGAAAGCAAGACACTCTGAAAAGTCATCTGACTGAACAGGGGCTCACAGGGGGTCTCCAGGCCCGACTGACGCTCTCAAGTAGCTTTGTGTTTGTGTGGCGTATGCTGTCTAACGACCACAGGAGACGTCAAAAACAGGAACCTCTGAAAATGCGAGAACACGTAGGCACACATTCCCCGGGCCCTGAGCAGCAAGGATGCTGCTGCCTCGGAAACCCCAGTGGACACCCAAGACTGGAGAGGACAAAGGCAACTAATGTCCTCGCACTGCCACAAGGACACGTCAACCCGCGGCCCTCCAGACAACACCAGGAGATGTGAGGCTTGAAGACACAGCCCAAGGGCAGACGAGCTGGGAGACAGCGAAGCGAGTGAAGACGGGCTGAAGGCAGAACGACAGAAGTGGAAACGGCCACCACCGAAGGCCAGAGCAGCAGCACTCGGCCCCCGAACCCGCTGCTCCTTCCTCCCAGGACACAAGCAGTGAGCGACACTCCGACAGGGGCACACCGGCCACGCGGCCTGGGCCTGCCACGGGCTCCGAGAGCGCCCGGGCTCCCAGCTGTAGGGGAAGCAGCGCTGCCGTGCCCGGTGCCATCTCCCGCGCCCCGTGCCACGCCGCGCCCTCACCTTCACCCGCTCGCTGTTGTTCAGCAGCACGTTCCGCAGCTCCTTGGAGACCATGTAGAGCTGCCTTTTCTTCCCTTCCGTCGTTCGCGTCAACAAATTCATCCTCGGGAACGAAGGGTCCAGAGCGTAAAATTTCCTGTTTACAGGGAGCACAGGCCAAACTTTAACGTACGGCCCTGGGCAGCCTCCACCCCGACAGCGCTGGGTCCCGGAAACCTGGTGTGGGATACGGCACCGAGCCCCGCGCCGGACTCCCGTCTCTAAGCTGAACCCACTTCACCCGCAGCGTCCAGGCGGCATTTACTGGCGGTGCGGCCAGGTCAGAGCCCCAGGCCAACATGGGACCTTCTCTCCCTGAGGTGCTACTCCAGACAAGGTCCCAAACCACTCGAAACGGTTTAACAGGGATTTTTACAGATGCACGAAAGGGACCAGTTACCCGCAAGATGAAGTAAGTGACCGCCCTGGTCAACACACACAGGACTCTCCTGACTAAGGACACGAGACTCTGAGACTCATCCCAGCACGTTTCCTCTCGGTTCCCTCTCGGTTCTGCCTGGAAGTTCCCACCTGGCGACGCCCAGCCCCACCTCCCAGCAGACCCGCCACCCTCATTTCTTAAATGGAACTCACATCCCACAGCCTAGGCCGCTGAGCGCCTAACGCAACCAGTGACCCACAGCCGGGCGCAGGCTGAGCCCGTGCGTCATGTTCTCGACTATCCCCGGGGGCAACTACTTCCTGTCATCACTGCTCAACTGAAGGGCTCAGGAAGCACCTTCTCAAGGTTCAGCCAGCTCTAACATACAACTAAAAAGGAAAAATGCTGCTTGCTACACGGAGCTAAATAAAACACCGTGGTTAAATGGGACCAGTTATGCATTTGTAACCCTACAGTAAACTTCTTTAAATGAGGGCTTTAGAAGGCTGAATGAATCCTTACTGGATAGGTGGAAATAATGGGTCATCTTCAGGAATAAACACGAACGGATCCTCTTTAAATCCAAACAGCTTCATTTTCTTCGATGGAGGAGGACTAAGAAGGAATGTGGGGTGAGATGTCAGTCTGGAACCTGGGTGGTAATGCTGACCACTGCTCAGAGCACTGACCCCTCCCCGCCCGGCCCTCGCCCCACCCCCACTCTGCACCTGGGGTGAGGGTGACAGCAGGCCTGCGGGCCTTCAGCCTCTACCTCCCACAATGGCAGGCAGCCGCACTCGCACCAGGTTCATTAACACTGAACCGCGATGTTCCCGCCCCACCCGCTGCAACGCCATTGCAGAGAAGGCTCGGGACCCCGGTGAGCCTACGCGGCTGGGGGGACACCAAATGCGAGGCTCGAGACATGACCGACCCTGTTTCTCACCCACACACGCCGTCTTTCTTGTTTCCGTTATCGTCTAAGTTCTCAGTTCTTTCAATTACTTCCGCGTCACCCATTCCAGTGACTGGTGTCCTTTCCAGCTCGGAGGGACCCGCAGCTGTCCCTCCCGTGGGACCTGCAGGGCTGGACTGCGCAGGCGCCCTCAGCTCCGCAGAGTCTCCCTGCAGCTGTCACAGGGAACAAGGCCGTTTAACTCAGAGAGCAGCCTACTTTGCACTGCTCCAGAAAATCATGAACAAAATTAAGCTCACAAAATCGACCTTAACGATTCTCTGTAGTCTTTTACGTGTAAAAGAAAGAAAACAAGAATTTTTCTAAAAGGTATTTTAAATCTATTTCCTATTACAAATGATGTGTGGACATTGTTTCTTTAAAGTTAAAATCAATTCTACATCAACCCCATAAAAAGCACAGACGGCCTGTTTCGTAGGCAGAAATGCCAGCCTGTCTTCATCTCGGATCTGCTCTGTGCACGGCACACTGCGGGATGCAAATGCGTGAACACCACCACCCCTAAATGTCAGGGAGGCCGAAAGCGACAAGTTCCAAATAACCGCAGCCGGGGGAGGGCAGTGCAACCTCTGGGACGCCCGGAGACACAGCTGGCAACGAAAGGGCGAGCGAACGCTGGGGACGAGGGGACAGCCTGCTGCATATCAGGCTTTTGCCCTGGGCAGCCGTATGAACTTGGTTTTAGGAGTAAGATGTTTCACTTAGATTAAAGTTTGCACATGCATTTTATACAAAATCTTATATAAAAGTTATTTAAAACTACAAGTCTTTCTAACAACTCACAAGACAGATAACAGTACTAACCCCAAACCCTATGAAGCGAGTTCACAAATGAGGGCACTGGAGCGCAGAGTTAACACGCTCCCCGAGGTCGCAGAGCCAGGAGCAGAGGGGCTGCTCAGGTTCCAGAGCGGTTAACACCAGGCAACGCCGCCTCCCCGAGAGCAGTTAAAGTGCAGGAAAAAAAAGAAAAACGCAACCTCCCAACCTCTGTGACAAGCCTGGCTACGAAGGCACGCCCCTCCCCCATCTCTGCCCTGGCACGGCCGCCGCCTTCCTCGGGGCCCTTCTCACGTGCCCCCACTCCAAGGAGCCTCCTCAGTTCATCCCCGTGATCTGATCTTCCCTCCCTCAGAATACCAGCCGCACTTGCCAGCATGGCTCTGTCTGACATAAATTCTAGACCCACGTCACACGCCTTTGGGCTACGAAGGCACGCCCCTCCCCCATCTCCGCCCTGGCACGGCCGCCGCCTTCCTCGGGGCCCTTCTCACGTGCCCCCACTCCAAGGAGCCTCCTCAGTTCATCCCCGTGATCTGATCTTCCCTCCCTCAGAATACCAGCCGCACTTGCCAGCATGGCTCTGTCTGACATAAATTCTAGACCCATGTCACACGCCTTCAACTAGATTCCAGTGTCCCGGGGACAAAGCACCTGAGTTATCAGCATGGCCCTGGCAGTGCCGAGCTGGGCTGCCTCACAGGACAGGTGACCAAAACATAGCTACTCAATAAAATGAATAAGAAGTGATATAATAACAGAAGACGGGAGAAGTTAATGTTTAAATGACACCACGTGGTTCTAAAAAGTAAGACGCCGCATCACAGGAGTAAACTGAAGGAAAAGTTCAAAACCCGTGTACACAGGCAACCACGTGGCAAAACATCAAGGCGGCCCCAGAGCAAGGGAGCCCACAGCACACGCGCGGATGCCGGGCCCTCAGCCCGGGCCGTGCGTGCAGCAGCCACCGGCCACGCGTGCCCTCCAACCCCTGCGAAGGCGCTGAGTCAACGAGAGAGGTAAAATGCACACTGCTTTTAAAAACTTGCTAAGAAAGCACATGAAATACCTTAACTTTTAATTCTGGATACATGGAAACGACACTTTAAATATACTGGGATAAGTGAAACATTAAAGTTAATTCCACTTTTTTTTTGCGTTTATTTTTTAAACGTGGCTGGGGCTCTGCTTCTGTCAGCTGTGCTGCTCTGAGCGTCCCCAGCTCTCCCGCTCCTGGCCAGGACGCAGGGACCGTGCGAGTCCAATGCCCATGAACACTCCCGCCATCTGAGGGGAACGCTCCCTGGCCCGCACCCGCACCACGGGGACTGCCCGGAAACCGGTCGAGCTGTACACGTGAGTGTCAATCTGCACTGGTCCTATCCCAGAGAACTGTTTCTTTACTATTTCTCCAAGGTCTAAGCATCGTTTGTCCTAAGTTTTAAGCACAGTTCTCAAAGAAATACAGACCTTCGGGCCACGTTCCACGGCCGGGGAAGGCCGACGCATAAACTCAGAATGCCACGCGGGCAGAGGACAGCGCACGCTAAACCACAGCCTCGTGTCAGGCTTCGGGGCACCCGCTCCACCCCATGGCAGCCTCCCTCATGACCAGGAGGCCATGCAGACTCCTTACACGGGTCAGGCCTGTCCAGTTCCTTCCCAGCTAGGCCTGGATAAAGCCCTGTCACCACCCCTCACGGCGAGGGGAAGACGGGCTGGCCTGAGGTCAGCAGTCCTATCCACCTGCAACGGGCTGAGCTAAACAACCCCTAGGGGTCCAAGCACAGAGCCAGTTTGGGGGACTGAGATTCTGATTTTGAGCCACAGAGCTCTGTTTATATCTTTTCAAATTTTTATCAGATGTAAAAGAAATGCGTTCTCCAAAGTCTGCCTTTCCCATTTATCTACCCCTTAGAAGAAATTGCTACTTTTTGTTTGGAAAACTCAAAATTTAAATGAAGCCCCCCAACGCACAAACATTCATTCTCAGCTACAATCCATCCCCCAAAAACGCTCCACTGGTCCTCAGATTCTGCCTGAGTGCACAGAGGTCACGTGGTCACTGTGTTATTTTGGGAGACGTTTACCTTTGGTGCACGCTTATTCCATGGCATCGAAGACTTTTTCACTAATACTGCCACGAAGAACCCGCCAGTATTTTGATGATGTGGTAATATTCTAAGACTAAAAAGAAAACACAATTCTCACTTTTTAACTGTTCTAAAATACATTCTTTTAACACTAGATATCAAGACATACTTCGAAGATGACCTGTGATAGTCATACTTCGCTGCAAACACTGCCCTCGTTCACGGAACGGTCAGCGTGTAAACGTGCAAAAAGTTAACGCAACATCCAAAGTACTGCCACTTAGGTTCTACCCACGTCCCTTAGTCACAAATCCCTGAGGCCAGCAGCTGTGTGCCAGCAGCTAGCAGTACAGAGAAGCTGTTGCGTGCTGCCAAGTCCACACAGCCGAGGTTGGCCACAGGCACAGCCCGGGCCTCGTGGGAGGGCCAGACGGCCCGCCCCCCGCCACCTGGACCTCCCGGAACCCCGATCCCCCGGAGCCCCGCATGCTCACCACCGCTCTAGGTGCATGGCCTGCAGCGTGTTCGCGTCCTTCGGTGGGAACATGGTGGGACGGATCTGGGTGTGTCTGCTGTGAGGAACCTCGTCCCACGATGCGAACCACTGTCCATCTTTTGTCATGACCTGCAGAGTGAAGGCAGGGACCCCGAATCACTAGCATGACCAGTACTAAGAAAAACCACAGGGTGCCACGTATGTGCCCTCGCACATGACAAACGGCAGCTCTCAGTTCTCTCCAAAGCTAGGAAGACTGTTTGCAAAGATAAAATGAGATCATCACTTATTCCATAAAGGATGACCATTCTACAAAAAAAGCATTTCCCATGTGCGATTAAAAAAAAGCCTCACAGTTTCTAGTTTAAAACTGAAAAGTTAATTGTTCATTTCACATTTGAAATTAAGCTTGACTCCCAGCCAATAAAAATAAGTAAATAAAGCAAAGTTGTGCTTATGCGGACGAGAATGACAAAGTCGATTTCTAAGTGGAGAATCAAGGCAGGAAAACCTTTCCACTGCCAGAGGCCAGAGAAGAACATCTGTAAAATCGTACCACTTATTATGATGTATGTATTTTAAAATTGATGCTAAACTGCATCACCAAACACAGTATTATTCCAGTTACCCAAGTATGGGCGCTTTACAACTTTCTTACTACGACGAGCCCCGTACGCTGTGCTCTGTTTAACCAAAGGCTTCACAGAAAGGCTACCTTCCACTGGGTGAGTCCAGGCATCCACTTTAGTCCCGGCAACTCAGAAGACACGTCAGCAAGCTCCAAGGCACCTAGGATTAAAAATAAATTTTTTTTTCACATGATGCTCAGTTAAAGAAACCAGAGGCAAAAATCACATAGTGCATGATTCTGCGTACAGGAAACGCCCAGGGAGGGCAAAGCCACACAGGCAGAAAGCATGGCAATGGCTCCTGGGTGGGGGCGGGACAGGAAGTGACCACAAATGGGCAAGAGGGCTCCGTAATTTCTTAGTAACTCTACTAAGGATCGCTGATTGTCCACTTAAAACAAGGGACAAGGGACTGCTATGGCGTGTCCATCGGAGCTCAGCGAGCTGCTGAGGAAGGGAGGGGCTGCAGAGTCCCAGGGTGCCTCCAAGACCGACTGCATGGCCAAGGCTACCTTGAAGGCGCCCCGAGGCCAGGACGAGACATGTGTCTCTCACGTGACCTGGGTCTTCTTCATGCGTTCGTGTCTAACAAACATCCCGGACCTGAAAGCATTCAAAGTGAATGTGGAAATTTTTAAACATTGTTTTAAGTCCAAGTTTTCTAAAATTGCCCACGAGGGCAACAGTCCAGTTTTAAAACACTGTGTCTCAGCAGCGACATCACAGGAAGCTGCGAGATGGGGCCAGGAAACCCTTACCATGAACGACCACAGACACGGACCTGACAGCCTCACGGAGGGACCCCACAGAGGCCAGGAAAACGTGGCAATCACAGTAACAAAGCAAGAGAATCCCCAAAGCGTGCCCAGCAGTAAGCCGCCTCTGACAGAAGCAGGACGCTACCTTCCGCTAGTGTGTCAAACAGTCTTACTTTTAAAGGTGAACGAACACTCACAGCGCGGGATCACGGAAACTGGTTTTCTCAGTGAGCACTGCCCAGTGCTCGGCAGCGCCTTCCCGCCGGTTTGGGTCAGAAGCCACCTCCTCTGGCCCAGCAGTCACAGACTGAACGTTTACCGGCCACCCTTCCTCTAGCTAAGTCTCTGGGGACCACATCGCGTGCTGTCACAACCCCCAGCAACTGTCGAGTACAGAGCTCAGCTGAGGTCTATTCTCGAGTGAAGTCACGTCTATATGGCGGTCTGAAACGAACAGTGGCTGTGACCGCAAAAGCTACACTGGAAATAACCTGCCCAGTAAGAAAACAATTACCGAGTAGGACACCCGGACTTAATTTACTATTAAATCACTTCCCGTTTGCCCCGAGAATATTCGCCAGTGGCGCTTGCGGCTGCAGTGTTTACTCAGAGATAACTCACAGGTCACAATCTTAACTTCAGCCCCAAAGTTTGCCACAAAATATCTCACTTTATTTTCGCATTGCTCTAGTATATTGATAGTCTTTGGAAACAAACGACATCACTCTATTTATTGCATTGTTTTTAGTAGGGGTATTTCCACTGACAAAACACAGTAATTCTCAATCACCGAAAACGTCAAATCCTAGAAAACGCAGCGTCCCACGCGCGACGTTAAGGTAATGCCAGCGGGGAGCCGCGCTTTCTCCCCGAATGGGAAAAGGGTTGAACTGCATCACGCAGTCCTCCCCTCCACGAACCTTCTGAAATGAAGCATCACCGAGAACGTAGAGGTTAAGACCAGGCAAAGAACATCATTCAGCAATCGCACCTTCCTGCAGACCAACCCGAGTGCAGCAAGAACAGAACACACAGCTCTCACGGTGACCCGGGAGGCCTGTCCACACAGCGCTGACCCGTCAGCCTAACCAGAGCCTGGACAGTGCGGGCACACTCGCCTCAACGTCTGGGGGAATGCACACTCGCTTCAACGTCTATGTTTCAACTTACATCATTCACGCACGCACGGTAAATCTGGCAACATCCTATTCTGAAAGTCGGCAATTTCTCGTTGCGTACTTTAAGGAGAATATGATGGGAACGATGTCATTTCAGTGAAAACGTAAAAGCAGAGTATTTTACATCAGAGCACACGGAAATCGCTGTTCAGAACGTTTCGTGCACTCTGCCCGTCCTCCCACGCAGAGCAGTGGTGTAATTAAGCCCTCACACCCACCAGGATGGGTACGGTCAAAGCCATGGAACACAGCAAGCGCTGCTGGGAACACCAACGGGCACCGTCGGCAGAAACTAAGACGGTGCAGCCGCCGCAGACACAGTACGGGAGTCCCGGAACACAGACACGGCGCACCCCCAGCAACCCCACTTCTACGTACACACCCAAAAGAACCGGAAGCAGGGCCTGAGAATCATCTGCGGTCATCTGTGACCCACGGTCACAACAGCTGAGACGAGGAGACCCACGTGTCCATCGATGGACGCTGGAGATACACAATGTGGCCCACGCATACAATGGAGCCCAAAAGGGGAAGGAAGCTGACACCTGCTGCCACAGAGAAACGCGAGGACATGACGCTCAGGGAAACAAGCCAGGCACAGAAAGACGGACACCGTATGACTCCACGCGCGTGAGATACCCAGGGGGGTCAAACTCGCAGAGACAGAGACTGCAGTCGTGGGGAGGGGTGACGGGAGTTACTTAACGGGTTCAGAATCCCCACTCTGCAAGGAGGAGCTCTGGAGGTTCACACAGCGATGCACACGTACTTTAAAATTGCTGAGATGCGTGTTTAAATACAGGTAAGACGATAAACGTTATGTGTTCTACCACAATTACGTTTAAAATTGCTAAGAACCTGACGTAATCTTTCACACTGAGACAAAAAAAAATGGGCAAATCTCGTAATTCATGAAATACAACAAATCTATTATATAAGCATGTTTTCAATTAAGGATGTCTCATTTTAGCGTTTATAGGCTAAATCCATATAAGCAGATGCAGGAAAAAGTCTACAAGAATATACACTATAGCAATAAAAAAAGGTTTTGTAAAGTACGGTTTGATTAAAAGGTTCATCGAGCATGCTCACCTTCGCTTTTTTCCAGTAAAGATGCTATGACTGCTTCATCTTCGATAGGGTTCAGGGAACACGTGGAGTAAACCATCCGACCGCCTTCTACCAGCTGCTCAGCCCCCCGCGTGGCGATGCGTAGCTGTAAGCTAAGGACAGGTGACCAGGTTACCTCGGCTTGAACAGCTCTACAGGTGCCTCTTACGTCACGTATTTACTATAAGTCTTTATGACAAACTTACGATAAACTACAAAATACTCTAGGTAAAATGAACCATCCCAATAAAAAAAACCTAAAGTTTTTAAGTGAAGTTAGAATCAATGTAAAGAAAGTAGCTCATGTGAATAAAATAGCATCAGTTCATGTGAATACTGGTTTGGCTGTTCTGCGTACCTTCCCCAGCATGTAAACAAAGCATAAAGTGATTGACGACCAAATTCAAAATATTAGGCCAATTTCACTATTAAAAATTCTCTATATTCGTAAGAATATTTGACTTTTTTTTAAATGAACAATCTGTATCCCTTAGTACATTCTAATCCTAATGCCTATGTCACAAAAACAGGGTTAAGTAAGAAAAACAAAAATCTCTTGCTAGTCATTAATGTTGCATACTCATTTAATACACTTCGATCATCCCAAGGTCTACATTTAAGAATGCATAATTTTAATGTTAAATGAAAAAAAACGCAAAGCTCTGTAGACTGTACAATCAAAACGGTTCAAAACAGGTATTTTAAAAATCTTTAGGCACAGAAAACCACTACAATACAGTGGGCATTACAGGAATTATCTTTGAATTATGAGATTTTGTTTTTCCTTTTAAGAATTTTCCAAATTTCTTTAAAGACAAAAAATATTTCCGAGATCAAAATGTGAAACAAAAGAATTCAACACAAAAGAATAGTAGACAGGCAGGAGAAAAGATTGGTAAAACAGTAAGGTGAACAGTCATTTCATGAAAAATACGTTTGAAACGTTAGAGGAAATTTTTCTAAAAGGAAGTTTTAATAAACGTCTACCTAAGATGTTAACAATTTACATTTCGGTTTGCTACTCGTAAAGGTTTTACAGAACAACCCCTCTGCTGCACGAGCAAACTCCCTCGCAGGCAGCCGTTAATACTGATATGTCAGCCGTCAGTCAAGGACCTGGGCGCCCAGCTAGGTAGGTGACTGAGCAGTTAAGCTTCGCTGATCCGTCCAAAAGCGCGGCCAGTGACAGCCTGACTCACCCGTGCAGCTGCAAGCTGTTTAACGTGGTCCACTTTTTCCAAACATCGATGTTTTTTCTCATAGTGCCATCTCCACTGGAAAGAGATATTTAAGAACTTAAAACTCTACCGGTAGATGGTTAGCTTAATGAATATGTCACATTCAGGCTAAATTACAAAACAGGTTTTTAGCACATTACAAATACCAATTAGAAAACAATCTAAATCCTCACAAACTACAACCAACTTGCTATTTGTTTCGGGGACACTCCGATGCATTAAACTTTTAAATCATACTCCAGTTTTCAATTCGAGGAGGAAACAGATTTGAAAAGGAAACATTCGACACTCGGAGACAGCAGCTACCTTCCATCTGGGGCACTCCCAGGACTAACCGTTGGCCCTTCCATCCGGGGCACCCCCAGGACTAGCCGTCGGCCCTTCCATCCGGGGCACCCCCAGGACTAGCCGTCGGCCCTTCCGTCCGGGGCAGCCCCAGGACTAGCCGTCGGCCCTTCCGTCCGGGGCACCACCAGGACTAGCCGTCAGCCCTTCCAGCCGGGGCACCCCCAGGACTAGCCGTCGGCCCTTCCAGCCGGGGCACCCCCAGGACTAGCCGTCGGCCCTTCCAGCCATGGCACCACCAGGACTAGCCGTCAGCCCTTCCAGCCGGGGCACCCCCAGGACTAGCCGTCGGCCCTTCCAGCCGGGGCACCCCCAGGACTAGCCGTCGGCCCTTCCAGCCATGGCACCACCAGGACTAGCCGTCAGCCCTTCCAGCCGGGGCACCCCCAGGACTAGCCGTCGGCCCTTCCAGCCGGGGCACCCCCAGGACTAGCCGTCGGCCCTTCCAGCCATGGCACCACCAGGACTAGCCGTCAGCCCTTCCAGCCGGGGCACCCCCAGGACTAGCCGTCGGCCCTTCCAGCCGGGGCACCCCCAGGACTAGCCGTCGGCCCTTCCAGCCATGGCACCACCAGGACTAGCCGTCAGCCCTTCCAGCCGGGGCACCCCCAGGACTAGCCGTCGGCCCTTCCAGCCGGGGCACCCCCAGGACTAGCCGTCGGCCCTTCCAGCCATGGCACCACCAGGACTAGCCGTCAGCCCTTCCAGCCGGGGCACCCCCAGGACTAGCCGTCGGCCCTTCCAGCCGGGGCACCCCCAGGACTAGCCGTCGGCCCTTCCAGCCATGGCACCACCAGGACTAGCCGTCAGCCCTTCCAGCCGGGGCACCCCCAGGACTAGCCGTCGGCCCTTCCAGCCGGGGCACCCCCAGGACTAGCCGTCGGCCCTTCCAGCCGGGGTACTACCAGGACTAGCCGTCAGCCCCTGAGACGCACACAAGGGAGAAGTTTTGATTCTGCTACTTAGAAACTTGGTTAACTCAACAGTGGTATTTTAATCGGAATTCCATGGATAATGATACACTTACAAGGACTTTCCACATAAAATTCAATTAAGTCAATTTAATTTCTTTACCATGGTTTTTCTACACATCAGTTAAACATTTTTGATTTTATTTCATGTAAATTTTTTCCAAGTAAATTTTATAATACAGACTTGTTCCATTAATCTTTCTGTCCACTTTTAATTTTAGCTACCCCGTTTTTCTGGGATAAATTAAACTTTCTCTATAAAGTTTAATTTTCCTTGGCCTAGTCACGTGTCCTTGAGATGAAAAGTCTACAGGGTGAAAATGTCCTATGAGATATAATGGTTTTCAAGTGACATTCTTCACGTGCACGGTGGTGGCTTAAACTTCTACCATAATTTCAGGAGATTCTCAGCTTACAACTTAGGCTCATAAGGTCATCGCGTTCTCGCAAAATGAGAAAGGAGTTATACTTCTGATCAAAAGAACACGAGGATAAGAAAACATCGGGTTCAAAGAAAATTAGAAAATTGCCATATAGAAAAAAAGAAATGCCGTTCATGATAGATTTTAAATGTTATTTTAAAGGGAATTATTCCAGGTATTTAAAACCCTGCCATGTTCAAGGCTACCAGCTACAATTTCAAACGGAGATCCACGTCTAGTGGTAAATCTGCCACCTGTTTACACAAGATGGATTTAATATTAATGTGTCATGAACACTGTTTAGTGCTAAGAAAGTTGTGTGTCGGTTTCTGTACTCTGGGCTCAACAACGTCACGTGTTCAGAAGGTATTAAAGCCTTGAGATTGTCACCTACATCACTGCCTGTGGGAACTTAACTGTCTAGTTTGATGTTTCTTTTTGGAAAAACTCGATTATTGAATTATGCCATGAGATTCTTTTAAACGTAAACTCTAAAAATGTAAACTTTACATGTAAAATTTGAAAAAAAGTATGTGAAAAAATACAGGTAAAATCAGTTTCTCAAAGGTTTTAACTCCCAATTTCATTGTGCTAAATAACGTAAGACTTACCACAGATGCCCAACGTGATTATGTACAGTGTTTTACATACTTGCTGGATAGTGTTTTACATACTCGCTGAAGCATGAGTGTAAATACCTGGATGAGCAGATCATTCCAAGCAACCACACCCCGAAATGCAGCACGGGAGGACCACACACTTCCCTCTCAGGCATCGTCTTCCTCTTTTTAGACTACCCATCAAAACCACCCTTCCTGCAGCTGTATGTCCCGTGTCCTCCATCTGTGCTGGGCGTCAACCAAACTCCAAGTGCCTTCTGACTTAGGTCTTGACGTTTCTCTCTACACACCAGTCGCCAGCAGAGTCACACGTACAACTACTGTGCTCACGTGCAGCTTCGTCTGAGTGTGTACTTATGTCCTCAGTGGTCCTGGGCTTTCTGGTCTCTGGGAACTCTACGTACCTGCAGGGGACGTCGCATAAGATGCGATCGTAGAAGAGAATCTCCTTCCTCCCGCCCACGTCCACGCTGAGTCTCGGGATGCTGGCCGCGTCGTGGTTGACCACCATGATGCACGGGCTGCTCAGCCTTTTGGCCTGATGGACGAGCAGATAGCAGCGTTTGTTGTCCACGTCATTCGCGATGACAAATCCCTCTGGGAACATCAAATTACAGTGTCAAGTGACATGCAGCTTAAGGAGAGCAATTTCCTGAAATACGTAACCTCAAGACTGGCGGGTGAGAAGGAACGACCCGCCTTACGCCTGGATCCGGAGCGTAAGATTCACTCAGACCACGTCAGTCGTTCAAAACAAGCGACCGGCTGGCTCGGCACGGACTTTATGGTCACTTAAAATTTTACAACTTCGAGATTCATTTATTCATCTGTTAATCAGTTTGCACCAATTATTGTGCTAAAAATCTATTTTCTACTGCTATTAACCATTAATTAAAAAGGCGGATGAGGAGAGAGAGAAGGGGTAGAAAACAACAGCATCGCCTGACAAGTGTTTAAAACACGGGGCGCGGCTGGGGCTCCACTCTAGACCCTGCGGGTCTGTCTCGGGGTGGGGCCTACGCTCCTGCAAGTTTAACCAGTTTTCTGCGGGGTTCTGAGCTGTGCCCCCCGGTTAAGAACCACGCTGGAAAGTTCCCTGGGTGCCAGCTCCTCTCACTTTCGGTTTCTCTCTCGTTTCTGCCTAATAACATTTTACGATCAATACTGCTCTTCTAAACAGTATGAAATACGAAGCACTAACAGGAAGAGGCTCTTCACTACCGATTTGGAGAAAACAAGAAACTTTCTAAGTAAAGATATTCACCACGGAAAGAAGGACTCTTAAAAAACACAGCTAACAAGCATACGCATTAAAACCAAACTAGAGCGGCTGGCTTAAATGAAAGGGAGGAGGAGACACGGGTAGGTAAACATTAAAAGACGAGCAAACAGTATGAATACTCTCTCTCCCGGCTTTAAAAAATCCCCATAAAGGAGCATCAGTGATACTGTAGGAGCTGCCATCTTCTGAGCACTTTGTGATCTTATATTGCATTCCCCAAGTTTATACTGATGTCTCATTCATACGTGACGTCTAGTAACGCCCCCTAACTCGACTTGTAAATGGTGCTGGGATTTGAACCTGGGGAGTCAGACAGCAGCTCTTAACGACTACACTCTCCTGCCTCTCAAAATCGGCAGGTAATCAAAACGACAAAAGCGAACAATGTGAAACTCACTACTGAAAATTCAAACAGAAACTGAAATCTATCTACTGTGGCTTAATAAAGACAGACCATTTGCTGTTCCAGAAAACACTCAAATTCAAAGGAAAGGCCCCTTGCTGCATGGTGCATGCTGGCTGGGGACTCAGGATGGCAGTGTGCAAAGTGCCCAGCTCCGCCAGAGAGGCTCAGGCAAGAGTCTAACAGCTTCCTCGCTCCCAGCACACGGGCTCCGGCCCTCCAAACGCCCACAAGGTGCGTACCTGGGAAAGGGACGCTCATGTCGGCATGCAGCATTTCGATTAACTGCGTGGTCTTCGATCCAGGCGCTGCACACATATCTAAGATCTAATAAATGGCAAAAAAATACTTGGTATTTTTATTTCAAGAAATCAAACACTCTACACTTAATTTAAAACAATTTGAATCATCCTAGTAGTTGGTTTCTATTCCAACATCCAAATATATCTCTTTAAAGAATGAATCTACAACGAATCTATAATGTAGAATGTCCCCAAACTTACTCTCTCCATGGGGGCAGAGAAGTGGCGACAGGTGGCACTGAAAACCAGTGACAGCACTACAGTTAGTGATGAGTGTAAACACCCTAAACGCAAGCAGCACCGTGACACACTGCCAGAGCACCAATAGCTGGGCTCAACTCTCAGCTCGGCCGCTGTCCAGCGCCGCACCCAGGGCCGGTCATCTGCTTCCACTTTCTCATTAGAAAACAAGGGGACAGTGGCAGCATCGACCCTCACAGCAATGTGTGGATAATAAACGAATTAATTCACGAAAAGAGTGAAGAGCAACGCTCGGTACATGACGAGCTCTCACTACGACTGTCAATCCGATCTGGTCAATCGAAACCACTGAAGGTAACCTGTGCAGCAAACGAATGAATTCAGAAACAAGCTTTCCGAGGGAAGGAAAGAGCTACGTGACTCATAAAAACTGAATGCAAAAATGCAAAAATTAACCTAAAAGGAAATATATATCACTTTCTACTTTATTCAAAGTGAAAAAGAAAAAAAGAAAAAAGCAAGGATTTGTGATATTAAGGAAAATGGTCCCAACAAAACAAAGGCACCGACAGTGACAGCAGCCTGCCCACCGCCATGTTCTGCGTCAACACGATACCTTGTGGTGAGGATGAGCATTAAGCAACAGCGGTGGAATCATGCTAACGGCTTCTTGACGACTGATGTTTCCCTTCAAAAAAAAATAAAATTTAAAAAAATATTAGCAATGACATTTTAAAAGGCAGAAAGTTTCACCATTGGAAATTCAAAATTTCGAAGGCAACAAAAAAAGACCACATAATCATACACGGAACGAGGGTTAGTGCTGTCACACAAACATTTAGTGAGGACGGCAGATTTTTATACCAGGGGATAAGGGGCGGCCACCTGAAGACCAAATAAGGGTGACAGTTAATACCGAAACTTATTTTAACACCACGCATAGAAATGCAGGCATAGGACTAAGTTTTATAATTTTATAAAAGAAACTCTATAAAAGAAAAGGATTTTACGCTTACATAGTCCCAACTTCCCAACTTCAGAAGGCACGGAAGCCGGATGAGCATGTGTCACAGGCAGACTCTGCTACCGAAACACTCTCAGCAAAGGGGACACAGGACCGGGTCCCCATGAGCAAGGTTTCCCTCTCAGCGGAAACTGCAACTCCTGTCTCTGAGGCCCCGTTTCCAGGAAGTCACATCTGCTCTCTAGTCCTGGTACCTGCCGCTCAGAAAGCTGAAGACGCCACCGCTGGTCTCCTCTCCTCAGAGACACAGTATCTGAAATTCCTCACTGAATCGTCTGTCACGACAGCTGGACCAGGACAGCTGTTAAAACGCATGGCCGTGCAGACCCAGACAACGCGTTCTCAATGAAGTCCGGCACTTGCCTCAAGCACGACTCTGCTTGTCCAGCCTGAACAACGAAAGCTCTGGAAGGGGTCATGACGTATCAGTGGCCTGGGGCCTCCGCACCGTCACATCCGGGTCTTTGGCACTTGAACTGCCATCGCTCACCACGTGCTCACGCATCTGCCTGTCAGAACCTGAACACAGACTGTACGTTCTCGCCGGCTAATTCCCACCTCCTGGGCTGCAGGCCAGCGGTGAGTCTGTGCAGCCCGCATCCCGGCTGACTCGCGAGGCACACTGGTTCCTGGCTTCGGGTTGTACCTGTGATTCTGACAAGTCTGCCTTCCGTTTTAATCCAGTTTTCAATTAAGGCATTAGCATGGGACAGGGACATTGGGCCCTGACGAGACATCCCGGCAGTTAGTCCTGGTTCATAAACACGTCTTGAAGGGGTTTTGCAGTCAGCTTTCAATAACCAAGAGCGTCTTATCCCATTGACTTCTGATCAAAAACCAGACTGGTTCCCTAAGACAGACGCTAACCGACACCAAACTCCCACCTCCTCCTCCACCGCTCAAAGCCGCCGAAATCGGCTCTTCACGACCCACCGCACCACGTTCCGCTCCACTCCCCACGAACCCCCACTCTGCCACCCCGACCTGCCCTCCACCCGTGTGCCGAGCCTCCCCTAACCCTGCATCTCGATCGAAGCCCGCTCCGAGAACCCTTCCTTGCGCTGGCCCAGCGCGGTCCTGTTTATTCCTAACTAATGGCGGGGCAGGGAGGGTGGAAAACCCAGCACGGCTTGGTTTACGGGATTACCAAGCAGGCAGAAAGCCCACGGTGGGAACGCTGTGGGTGGAGCAGAGGCTAGAACTCGGGGAGGTGAAGCGTTTCCACATCGGCTGTGGCTTCAGAGGAGAAACACGGGACGCACGTGATCTGTCAGTGGACGCGGAAGAGCAAACGAGAAACGCCATCTGCTGACACGTACGTTTCCTGGGCTGGGAGATTAGAAAATAGAAAGGGACAACTTCTGACTGGAAATGTGAGACTATTAGGAATATTCCCAGAGAATGAAAAGGAAACAGCAGAGCTTACAATAGCCGAACTGTACAGACATCACTGAATCACGTATCCAGGAAACAGGTATTTCATCGGTAAAAGTTTGATGCTAAAGGTAAAAAGTTTAGTGACCACAATGATAAACGTTCACTGTAACTGAGGAATCTGGGATGGCAAAAAAACTGAGAGGGTGAGGATGGGTGTCATTTTAGGAGAACCAAAATTGTCCTATTTAAGTTTTTAATGTATATATGTGTTTTGTTTTGGGAAACGTGGAGTACAGATAGGAACAAGAAAAAACAGAAATGATAAAAAGCGAGTTTAAAAGTCTCACTTCTGGTAAAATAAGTAACAGCCATAGAAACACATCGCTTTTACGACAAGCACCTGGCACGTGCCCCTAAGACGACAATGAGTGAACTGCGTGGTCGTCTCCGGGACGGCACGGCATCGAGCAAGGTGTGCTGTGCACACCAGTAGTGCAGCTCCCTGCACCCCCCGACTCAGGAGTAGCAGGAAGCAACCTGGCTGACAACTGTGATATCATTAAACTTCAAGCCTAGTCCAGTCAAACGGTAAGGGCTACGGACGTAACCTCAGATGAAAGGTGGCAGAGACGCTTAAAGGCGTCTTTCCTGGGTGCCTTAGCTACTTGATCATTCCCAGTGACAAGTAGGTTAAAATATGATTCTGATTCTGATGTACATTTAAAGCTTTAAGCAAACCAACAAATTTAAAGAACAGTACTCACAGATTCGGTTTCGCTAACCAGAAACTGGTGAAACTTTTCCAATTGTGGAGACTTTCGCAAGATTTTTCGACTTAAATTTGTGTGCCAGGCAAGTTCTTCAGGATACCTGACCAAAAAGAGAGTAAAACACTTATGAATCATATGTATTAAAGAGCTGTCTTAACAACGTCATGCTGATGCAAGTAATACACCAAATGTGACAGCCGATTTTGTCCTACTTGCTCATCCATGACCTGCTTCAGCAGTCGGCCACACCGCGTGACATCCGTGGGACACATGGAGCATAGTCCTACCTGCTTCATGGCCCCGGCAGAAACATGAGAGCCTGGGGGTCATAGGAGACACACGCATATGATGTCACTGAAAAATCACAGCGATGAATGCTCTAGATCCGAGGAAAAAGCAGTCGGCTCTGCTTCACTGTGTGGTGAGTTAGCGATGGCAGAGGCCATCAGAACAGAAGACCTAAGGTAACGAATTCCTTAAATTTAAAAGACGTGCAGATCGCACGGAATCAAAACAATGTGGTAGGGCAGGTATCAGGATGTTGGACAAATGTTCGATTATAATCTTATTTACCATATTTTTCACTATTTCTACAATAAGGCAGTCCGATCATGTACTGAAATGTTTTACGTATCAACATACCTTGGAAATCAACAATGCATAAATTTGAGCTCCTCGGTTGTCACTCATACAGAACTAAGAATGAAGCCTCTCCCGCCATTTCTGTGACTACATTTCAACTTTCTATAATGACGTCACTGGTCAGAACGTGTGTTTTTAAACCTGGCTTGCTCCCGTCCACTCATCTCCATCTGCGCGATTCAGTGCACCCGCACACCGCACAGCCACACTCAACCCACCACCCGACGAAGCGTAATGTGGCACTCGGTGACAAGATCTTCAGTTTTAGCACTTATTACATCTCGGGTGCAATAACAAGCTCAATTTAACAATGCAAGGTCACAATGTTTCCATGTGTCAAATTGCAACTAAGGTAACAGCCATGAAAATGAAATCAAATCTTCTGAAAACAAACTTTGAGTGACAGACACTTTAGGGC